TGGGCTGGACTGAATTCGTTTGGCCTATTTAAATAAAACTTGTGGGCCTAAATAACCTCCTTGGTTCGCATAACCAAGCCTGCCGCGGGAAGCCTAGATCACTCTTAATTTATTGGTTGAAAATGAGCCAAACGTGAATTCATAAACTGGCGGAGCCACAACCAACCAAGGAGGTTAAATTGGCATCGTCTTCTTCCCTTCTTCCATCTGCTTTCGTGGTCATGTCGTTTCGAACCTTAAAACCCTAAAATGAAGCCCCTAATCGGTTTAATGAGGTGGATAAATATAGAAGTTCACACGTAACTAGTTAATTCCTTATTAAGTTCATTTAATGAGGTGGATAAATATAGAAGTTCCCACACATAAAAAAACTCTAATTGATATCTCACGGGTTTTCCTAATAGACGAGGTTAAACACCCCTCTGGCGCATCTATTAATATGGCCAAACATCTTGCCCAAAACTCATTCAACTAAAAGTAGCGCAGAGGCCCTTTGGTAAACATTGTGTCTGTAACATTATGGGGAAGGAAGTGTAAGTTATGCAATCCGCTAATGTGTTTTCTTTAACTGTTTAGTCAGCTATTTCGTTGTATTTGTTCTTATATTCCACTCTCTCGTTGCTTTTTTGTACAATTATATTAGGGAGAAGAACAAGATGACGAGCGGCCAGTCTACTGTACGCCTAACGCGTCCTCTAGCCAAGTCTATGGTTCGTCCAGGAGCTTTAACAGTAGGTTATTTATACAAAACTTATTCTGACTTGATTGTTCATTATTGTAGGAATTGGAGAACTATGTATCTCCTGCAAAGAAAACAAGAATGCAAGACGTCATCCCCCCACCTACACCCGACTCGAAGGTGATTGTTCTTGATGCTGAACCAGGGCTGGAACATTATGAGCTAGGTGTGCAAAACAAACCCCTCACGCCTCCACAAAAATTGTCAATGAAGGTATGTAATCCTAGTGATGTACATATGCTTCCTTTTCGCCCACTATTTTCGTTGTTTTCCTTCGTTCCTTTCTCCGCCACTTGTAATCCTAGTGAAAACCTCTTCTTATTTCCTCTATTTGTTCGTTCTCCATGATTGAAGGGTACCACAAGGTTTGAGCTCCCTACAGCCGTCAACTACAGTGACGAAGAAGTGAGTTTTGCTCACTATATATTTGCAGAAGACCTTCCTCCTGATGAAGCTTTGGTCAAAACAATGATGAAATCATACACCAGGCAGACATTATGGAGCTTATGCCCCGAGTCAAGCGTTGATGCTGATGTAAGTACTTCTGCGAAAAGCCCCTAGTTGACCTGAACGTGCTTAACGATTTTTAATCATTGGATTTTATTTCTATTGTGTTTTAGGTAATTACAGCGTTAGCATGCCACTTGACCTTGGACGAAGTTAAAAGCGATACTGGTCGTGGAAGAAGAGTGTGCTTTCTGCCTACGGAATTGCAGGTAAGTGTTGCTTTTGCTTTGTAATTCTAATTCAGTTTACACAGGGTTGGTTGTTTATTAAGTAAGATTAGTGTTCAATGATTTAACTTCATTTTCCTACCAGGATATGGTCGTTAATTATGGCATGACATCTGCAAAGGCATTAGAGTTATATGATACAAAATTCCTATCAAAAGCTCGTAACTGTAGAAAGGTTATGACTTCTCCACAATTCTTCCTTCTCATTTCTGCTTATTTAGTAGCGGTTTTCACAACATATGTGCGCGTGAATTATGCCTGCCCTTCTGCTTAATTTCTTGAATGAATTATGTCGGAAAACTAATTAGTTAATTGGATTGTTTTCTCGTACCTGTGAAGGTTTGTCTTCCCATGAAAGATATGATGAATGATGAAGGCATCCACTGGTATTTAGCTATAATTTTGATGGACCAGAAACAAGTACACATTCTGGATTCATGCCCATCAAAAGAGCGCCAGACAATCCGTAGGAATGCAGTTAACACAATGGTATAGTTAAAATTTGTGCCATTGAATACATACTTCAATACACGTGTTTGTAATTCAATTATGTGGCATTATATTTTCCAACAAAATTTTGTAATTCATAGGTTACTTTTTGAACGTTGTAGATTGAATTTCTGAACGACTTGTTCGATGCCTTACACAAGGAAGTTCAATCAACATGTGCACCACCACAGATTAAGGAGTTTTCTTTGACCACTCCTGAAGTTCCTACACAACGACACAAGTAAGAATGTATATTTGGTCATAATTTCACTAGACAAATAAAATATTTGTGTCTTACGTAATGCATCTTTCTAAACAGGAATGATAGTGGGATCTGGGTTTGTGTGTGGATGATGGGATCAACTTGGGATGATGACTATTATATTTGGGTAAGAAATCACCTACTACCTAGGCCCATTTATTTCTACGAGCACATTAAAAAAACTATGTCAACTATTGTATTAATACGTTATATTTTCTGTCCTTACAGCCATGCAATCATTTGAGAAGAATGCAGGTGGCATTGTACCTAGTCAAAGAGCCTACCAATTACATAAGACACAAGGTGCTCAAGAAAGCAAATCAGAATGCGCCTAGGTTTGAAGCTCAGACACTTGAGTACAAAATAGCTTCCCAAGAGAGGAAAGCAGGTTCCCAGAAGAGGCTAATTCAGGAAAGCAGCTTGCCAGAAGAGGCGAATTCAGGGCTCAAGGATATCTAGTCGCATAGTGTGTTCTGCTAAAACATTTTAGCATTTAGTTTTGTTTCTTCCTTTCCAACGAATGCCCTCTTTATGGTAAAGATTTAAGGATATCTAGTCGCATAGTGTGTTCTGCTAAAACATTTTAGCATTTAGTTTTGTTTCTTCCTTTCCAACAAATGCCCTCTTTATGGTAACGATTTAAGGACACGTTTATTATTCAGCCGAATAAACACAAGTACACAGCCAGAGGCTAGTTTGCCAAACAGAAATGGAACCGCTACAGTAATCTCACATTGCAGACAGATAGCCAAAATAGCAGCAACAGAAACAGCCACCTCTGAGATTCGCATAAAAACTAATAGAGATAAACTGGCCAGATTACTTGCCTCGGGAAACTTATTCCAATCACGTCTTCACGAAGTAACCCATCGAAATTTGCTCGAGGATCGTCCAACAACCAGCCCAATCAAGTGGACCCTTAAACCATTTTTCAATAAAGATGGAAGAACTCGAAACATGATTAAAAGCATCACTAGTGAAGAATGTGGCTAAAATGAAAGAGGTCACATATCGTCCATTCAAATAATATTTGTCTGAGCTCAACCAAACTTGAGTTGCTCCCCCTATAAATGTAATCACCCTCTTGTTTCTTCATATCTTCTTCAGACAACTTATCAACTGTGCTAAACATGAAACTATCAAGATCGACTTCCTTGTTCCTCGGATCCATTCTGACCTGGAAAAAGAAAACCACCAAACAAGCTCCTCAACAGATCATGTCAAAGACTACTGAAAGAATGGACCAAAAACACACATGATCCTGGAAAGGGACATCTTAAGCACCTAATTCCGATACACATTAACTCGGTTTATCATCAATGCATAAAACCGTCACCACAATTCGTCAAAACCCTTACCTTGTCAAAGTTAACCACGAAGATAGAAGCAGGACTGGGCCTGTCGGGGTCTCTGTTTAGTTCGAACCCCACGGTTTCAGTGTAAAAAAATGTAGGAATAGAATTTTTGAAATACAGACTCCACAGCTGTAGCCTCCAGCTTCAAACAACTGAGACCTCTCTTCCCAAATCAGTCTACAATACACCTCATCCATATCAGAGATCCATCCAAAATCACAGCATTGTAGTTCGAAAATCAATTTCGGCAATTTCAATTCAAAATCCCTTTCTTACCTCCCTAGCATATCCTGAAGGAACCATGGCCTCTTTCATTGCCTTCTCCAGTGCAATCATCTCCGCCTGCCCAGCTGTTTACACAAGTGAATTACTCATACAAGCAACAATTAGTTTTCATTCAAAGGGATGGGGGTGCTTATGCTTGCACAGCTTGACGCCGAGATTACCTGCGATATTCGGCCAGTTTAGGGTTCAAACAATCGATTGGGAGGAATCATAGGACAGGTGTGAAATATAACAGTCGAGAACGGGAAAACGAAGAAGAATAAGAGGAGGAAACAGAGTGGTTCAATTATCGCTGCCATTTTCTGAGACGGCTGGGATGATTTACAGGAGTAGGGAGGAAGAACAGGGTTATTCCCAATTCGAACAGAAAAATGGAGAAGAGAGAAGGTCCAAGGTCGGGATTTGGAGGAGAGGGGTAGGGCTGCGGGTGGGGCAAGGGTAGGTGTCCTTTCTCTTAGGGTGGTTGGGTTTTGGGTCAATTCAATAACTAAACAGAACCAACCCGATTTGGTTTACAATGGACTAAAATGAAAGAAAAACTAATTCTATGAGTTGATCTGTAATTTTATTTAACATAAATTCCGAAAAAATAAATCATTTAATCAAATTTAATCTCAGCCGTCGAGATCACACGTACGGTCAAGATCACCCAAGGTACGCCATACCCCGGAATTTACCCGGGGTACGATAGAAGCCACCATATATATATATATATATATATATATGACGAGTTCTACGGTACCCAGGGTGAAATCCGGGGTACCGCATGCCTTGAGTATGAAAACGCTATCCAGACCTTGAATTGACTGATCTTTCGGACATGATACTATACTCTAACCCTTAAAGATCAAAATCTAGGTCTTAATTCTCTAAATCTTATACACCAAGATCAATTTAATTAGAAAAAATAATCGACGGTTATGATTCGTCCAAATATAGGCAAAAAAATCAATGCACCATCTTAGGATTTATAGTTTATGATTTATATAATTATGATCTAGGATTCACTAATTAAGGGTTAGGGTATAGTATCATACCCAAAAATCCTGCTAATTCGAGGTCTAGATAGAGTTTTCATACTCAAGGTATGTGGTACCCCGGATTTCACCTAGGGTACCGTAGAAGGCACTGGGGGTGGTTCATCTCTTTGACTACGAGCTAGTTAGGAGGAAAAAGATTGAATTTGTTTTTGCTTTTGTTTCTAGCATCTCGTTGCTGATGATGTTGCTTTTTGACCCAAGATATGTGGAATTGTAGTAGCAAGACAATGCCTTGTAATGTAACTTGTTATTAGTCGTCTAATACTGAAGAGGCCCTCTGGTGCAATTTAATCCATCGTCCTCTCAGTGGGTTGACACTTGGCAGACGAAAGGAAAATAAAGCCTGTAGCGCCGGCCCGGTGGTTTGAGCAGAAGAAGCCATGTTGACTCCTTTAGGGGTAGGAATTGGTGCACATTGATATCAAATAATGAGTCCAAGTCCGCATAGGAGAAGGATTACTTGCCTGGTAATTTTCCGGTCATACGTTACCACTCAGCTATATAAACAAAATAATAGTTTTTCGCACAACTACAAGTAACCATTCTTTAAGTCATGGTGGGTCAGTCGGAGCCGGAGAAGCATCCATGGCGTAGTTGCGCCTCCAAGTCGGTGGTCGAGACAGTGACGGGGTCGCACAAGTTCATTGTAGAGGGTTATTCTTTGATGAAAGGAATGGGAACTGATAAGTACGTGTCCAGTGATGTTTTCTCAGTTGGTGGTCATGATTGGGTGATCCGCTTCTACCCTAATCAAAGCAAATCTAAGACCTTTACGGGCATTGCTTTGGTCAGCGACGATGGTGGTACGGGCATTCAGGCCTTGATTGAGTTGAGATTCTTGGATAAGAGTGAAAGAGGGGCATCATGGACGGGAAACAGTGCAGCGCGGCGTGCCTGAGACTATCACGAAAGGAAGCCTCTGGTAATGTGCCTATTATTATTATTATTATTATTATTATTATTATTATTATTATTATTTATTTTTATTGTTAATGCCTTGATCAATCTCATATATCATTGTTGTTGTTGTTGCAATTAGGGGTTATATGTGCAGGAAAGCAGAGCTAGCAAGAAGGAAGTATCTGCACAAAGATTGCATCATCATTGAAGGAACGGTCGGAGTTGTTACAACTCGCCATGAAAAAGTTGAAGGGGCCAAACAAGAAGATTCCATTACTGTACCCGACTTCAACCTGGGGAACGGTTTCAAGGAACTGCTGGAATCAGAAGTTGGTTGGGACGTAGTGTTCCGGGTTGGTGATGAAACATTCAGAGCTCATAAGTCGATCCTTGCTGCGCGATCACCTTTCTTCAGAGCCCAGTTCTTCGGGCTAGCCGGGGATCCTTACCTGAATGAAGTTATAGTGGATGATGTCCATCCCTCCATCTTCAAGGTGATCCTTTCATTTTTTTTTTCAGGGCCCAAAACCCTAAACACTAAACGCTAAACTCATCACCTTATATTGTCCTCTTTGCAGGCGATGCTGCTATTTATATACACAGACGAACTTCCTGATGTGCATGATACAACAAGCTCATCGCATTCGTCCACGTCGGAGGCTACCAACACGATGCAGCATCTGTTGGTTGCAGCTGACATGTACAACTTGGACCGGTTGAAGGTGTTCTGCGAATCTAAGTTATCCGAGGAGATCACGGCCCTATTAGTGGCCACGACACTAGCATTGGCCGAGCAACATCTTTGTGCGCAGCTCAAAGCTGTCTGCTTGAAATTTGCAGCACATCCACCAAACCTGAGAGGTAACTTGTGTTGTTAGTTCGTAGGGCACCTGATAGTACAAGTTTGTTCAATTCATGAGCCTTATGAACCTCTCTGTGTTTGTGGTACTTGCATGACAGTGATGATGCAGTCTGAAGGTTTCAAACATCTGGAGGAGAGTTGCCCAACATTGTTGCGCGAGTTGCTGAAGACAGTTGCATCAACGGATGAGGATAGGGTTATGGCAGAGTCTATAAACCCAAACAAGAGGCTCGCGAGGAAGCGTTTCTGGTTCAGGAGAAGGCATGGATAATATACATAAAACTAAAACTAAAGTAGAGAAGATGAGAAGTTGGGGAATTGGGAGATCCGATCCCTTCAACTAACTGGTTTTATTAGTTAACCAGGTTGTGGCAGTGTGTAGTTTGTTGTAAGTTCGAGGGCCGGGGTAGCTATCTCCATTCTTTGAGGCTATGAGTTTTTTTAGTAAGTTGTAGGAGGTGGAAAAGTGGATTGGGAAGAAAGGTTTTTTTGTTGCTTTGTTTTGCATGTTGTTGACCATGATGTTGTTGCCTTGTGGTCTAAAAATCGATTAAGTCTATATCTCTCGTTGGCTTTTTCATCCAAATTCTTAATTCATGTATGGACTGTTGGTTGTGTTTCACGAAAAATGAAAGATAACATTATAAATGTGTATGAAAAAATTAGCAAAATGTAACTCATAAGAGGTTTAATTGCACGATTGGTCACTGAGATTACAAAAAACGTTCAAGTTAGGTCACTCGAAATATTTAAATTCATTGGTGGTACTTTAGTTTACTGAAACCGTTCACGTTTGGTCACTCTCCGTCCAACTCCGTTAACTTTGGATGATGTGGCAGTCAACTCTCAAAGTTGACCGTTAACTTAGTGACGTGACAATTAAGAAATAATAAATAAAATTTATTTTATTTTAATGTCCAACTCATTTTTACCATAAAATAAATAAAGAAAATAAAAAATTATGAAAATCATATTTTCTTCCTCATCCCGTCAAAATATAATAATTTTATTTATTATGCAAATCCCGTCAAGGCGGTCTTCCATACTGATCATCAACATCAACCCAGGTTTCCTCATAAACAGGAGTATCAACCCATGCCGAGTGAACGCATGACAATGGACTACTACTACTACCCATAAACTGTAACTCCCCAAAATTCAGAAGATAAATATGCTCAAGATAGATTTGGCGCTTCCATTTCAATGGAACAATGCAGCCTTCCATCATTGTTGATAATCGTCAAGTTCTTCAAGGATGGTACGGAAGCAATGAGTACTTGATCGCCATCCCACATCTTGTAAGAGCAATTCTCCAAATAAAGAGTCTCCAGAACAGGGCAACCAGAAATGAGTCTGCTTAATAACTCGAAGTCCCAAGTCCTTACCTTCAAAAGCTGTAGGATTTTCAGACTAGAAAGAAAAATAGAAGCCGGCATTATGCCTGTCATGATTTCGTTAAGCTTCAGAAGTTTTAGATTCTTCAAGGTGAAGAAACTCGCTGGAGGAGACCATAGCTCACAGATGGGACCAACGTAAAATGAGCTCTCCAGTCTGTCAGTCTGATATCAATTTCCTCCAGCTGACACTCGTCAGGAGTCGGCTCCATCCAATGACATCAGACATCTCGACTCAGCTCGCGCCTCGCATTCATAATATATAGTCTACTGAAAAATGGAAGCGGAAGCGCCTTAATTACAAAATTGAGATTCTTGTGCTGGCTCAGAACCCGTCCCACGAATCAAGAGAATTCCAAGTCTCTCCTCTTGGCCTCTCCGGAATCCAGAGGATTGCTGCGAACCAGGCGGTTGTCGAAATCAAGGTTGCGGAGACTTGTCGAGAGATCCTTCCACTGTCGGCTCAGGGCCACGGCGTACTTGGTTGGCAGGAAGGAGAGGACGTGGGAGATGATTTCGTCCGGCAGGGAGTTGGACGGAGAGTGACCAAACGTGAACGGTTTGAGTAAATTGAAGTACCACCAATAGATTTAAATATTTTGAGTGACCAAAGTTGAACGTTTTTTATAATCTCAGTGACCAACCATGTAATTAACCCCTCATAAGATGTAATTGCAAAAGTAGCAAGTAAAACCACAAAAATGATGTGAGAACATGTTTAGTTTGGAGTTCGACAACTTTTAATTAGAAAATTGACTTAAGTTTCTACGTTTGAAATGAAAAGGAAGAAAAAGATAACTGATAATGCGTGTTTTATTTATAGCCCGACAAGCAAAAGATGAACTCAAAATTAACCCTCGACTCTCAATTGAGATGGAAAGAAGAAGAAAAATAGAGAATATGAAAAAAATAATAAAAAAGAATGGCAAATTGACCAAAATAAACGATAATAATAACTTATTTCGCTTTCTAAATTCTAACTAGTGAAGCAGAGAATTGACGAAAGTAGTCGGTTGGAGGGAGTTTTATGCGACTTGGCCGTGGTGGCACAAATCAGAAGGTTTCAGACATTTGGAGCAGAGTTGCCCGTCATTAGTGTGTGAGTTGTTGAAGACACTTGCCTCAGCTGATGAGAACTCAAACATGCATCCTAGTAGGAAGAGAGGCGGCAGCAACATATATGACTTGGATATCGTTGCAGCAGATGATGAGGGTGTTGCAGAATCTAGTAATCCGAACATGAGGCGGGTGAGGCTGCGGTACTAGGCAGACATATATACTACTTTCTATAGAGCTTAAATTGGGTAAGGTGTGGAGATTGTGAGATTCCCTCAACTAACTGGCTTTGGTACTTAAACTAAGGTTGGGCTGGGTTTCTTTGTACTCTCTTGTAAGTTTGTGGCCTGGGGTGTTTCATGTCTACGATCTTGTTAGGAGGAAGAAGGAAAGCTTTTTGCTTTTCTTTCTAGCATGTCGTTGCTAAGGATGACGCTTTTTGAGCCAAGATATGTGTAATTGTAGCAGCAAGCAAGACTTTTCTTTGTATCCTTTTGTCAGCCACCTGACCTGAGTCTCCAATTCTTCTTTGCAGATAGCAGCAGTATCAGTATGTGGTTCTGCAACCCAAGTTTGGTTGTTCACTATTGCATCTCAAACAGGGTCAGCGGGCTTTGTCAGCGTACAGTGACCAACCCAAGTAAAGCCCATAGGCTCGGCCCAAGAACGATGCTTGAAAGACCCTACCAGTGGCGGATGACAAACAAAAGGAAAATAAAGCCCATAGCTGGTTTGAGCAGAATAATAATCCATCTTCTGGGATTAGGAATTGGCGCAAGTCCAAGTCCGCACAGGAGAAGGATTACTTGCCTGGTAATTTAGGTGTTGGTGTCGATCCCTACAGTTGAGCTTATATAATTTCGTTACGACGACTCACTCATAACAGTTCATTCAGTCATGGTGGGTCAATCGGAGCCGGAGGAGTTGGAGAAACACCCATGGAGTAGTTGCGCCTCCAAGTCAGTGGCCGAGACAGTGACTGGGTCGCACAAGTTCATTGTTAAGGGTTATTCTTTGACGAAAGGCATTGGATTTGAGAAGTACGTGTCCAGTGATGTTTTCTCAGTGGGTGGTCATGATTGGGAGATCCGCTTTTATCCCGATGGCAGAACTATCGGGGATGTCAGCTCTGCCTCGGAGACCTTTTCGTGCATTGTTTTGCTCAGCGACGTTGGCGGTACGGGCATCAGGGCCTTGTTTGAGTTGAGTTTCTTGGATGAGAGCGGGAAAGGGAAGCGTCATGACGGAGGAGCGCAGACTTTGAAGACAGGAGACGCGGTGTAATGTGCCTAGCTATTTCGTTATTATTGCCTTGATCAAGATGTTGTCCCTAACAAAGCTTTTCGTGCATTGCAATCAGGGGGTTTTCATTCACGGAAGCAGAGCTAGCAAGCAACAGGTATCTACACGATGACTGCATCATCATTGAAGGCACGGTCGGAGTTGTTACAACTCGCCATGAACAAGGTGAAGAAGCCAAACAGGATGATTCCATCACTGTACCCTGCTCCAACCTGGGGCAGGGTTTCAAGGAACTATTGGAATCTGAAATTGGTTGGGATGTGGAATTCCGTGTTGGTAATGAAACATTCAGAGCTCATAAGTCAATCCTTGCTGCGCGATCGCCTTTCTTCATAGCCCAGTTCTTCGGACCAGCCGGGGATCCTTGCTTGAATGAAGTTATAGTGGATGATATCCATCCCTCCATCTTCAAGGTGACCTTTTGCTTCTTTTTCTAGGCCTTTAAACCCTAAACCTTAAACCCTAAATTATATCCTGATTTTTGCAGGCGATCCGGCTATTTATATACACAGACCAACTTCCTGATGTGGATGATACAACGGGCTCGTCGTATTCATCCATGACTTCGGAGGCTACCAACATGATGCAGCATCTTTTAGTTGCAGCTGACCTGTACAACCTGGACCGGCTGAAGGTGTTCTGTGAATCAAAGCTATTCGATGAGCTCACCACCACATCTGTGGCCACGACACTAGCATTGGCCGAGCAGCATCAGTGTGCGCAGCTCAAAGCTGTCTGCTTGAAATTTGCAGCATGTCCAGCAAACCTGGGAGGTAATCTGTGTTGTTAGGTTCGTAGGGCACTTAGAGAGTGATGGATCTTTGCTATAGAACTCAATCCTCAGTTCAGCTTTTCACTACTAAATTGATGGAAAGTTACATATGTGACCATCTTTGTGTGTGTGGTTTATATTTGCTTGACAGTGATGATGCAGTCGGAAGGTTTCAAACATCTGGAGGAGAGCTGCCCGACATTGTTGCACGAGCTGCTGAAGACGATTGCATCAACTGATGAGGATGGGGTTATGGCTGAGTCTAGAAATCCAAAGAAGAGGCGCTTGAGGAAGCATTAGTAGCTATGGAGAATGTGTAGAAGATTGACATATCCCTTAAACTAATTAACTGGTTTTATTAGTTAACTAGACTCTTTGTAGTTTGTTTGTTTTTTTATGAAGGTTATATAGGTTAATTTTTAATTGTTAGGTACTATTTAATTGGGATTGTGTAGTTTGTTGTAAGTTGGAGGGCAGGGTAGATATTCAAGTCCTCTGACTGTGAGCTTTGTTAGGAAGTTGTAGCAAGTGAAAATGGATTGGGAAGAATTGAAGAAAGGCTTTTGGCTTTGTTGTAAGTTGTGGGTGTCCGACTACTTCCGATCTAGCCACCGAGAGGAATTTTCTTATTGACCAGGTACAAGGTGGATATGAATACCAAAGAATGGTGGGGATGGATCATGGATCAATGATGCGTTTAGGTATCTCCATGCCATCCTCATATGCATAATCAACGATTCTTATACTATTTATACCCAATTATATGAATCCAATCTCTCCCTCCACCATATCGTGCACCAAAATTTAAAAATAATACGACTCTAAAAGCCTTCATTTTCACTTTTTTAGTTCCATCATTCCATATATGTCACCTTTTATCCCCAATTTCACCAAAGAATTGAAAATGTTGCTATGTTTCTCATACTTTTTGGGTTGATTTATGACATATAATCAATGTTCAACATTCAAGCTCTACAATCGCACGGGTGTTAACTTCACTACATACAATAGTTTTAAGTTGAGTTTGGTTCCGATTTTCAGACCAATATTATCCACGGGCATCTGAAAAACCATAGGCGTCAGGACAAGAAACTTACATCCATACAAGGATGGGGAGGGTATGAATTTATGAATTTAAACAAAAATGTGGATGGATTTAACAAAATCCGTCCCATTACCATCCCTACCTACCTGTATCGTTACTTACTACAATTTTATTAGAGTTTTCCGTACCGTTATTTTTCGAATGAAAATACAGAGATTTTTCCAGAAATAGCACTGTTTAAAAAAAAATTCCAAAAATAGCACTCAACTCCGAAAAATTCCAAAAATAGCACCATTTTTGTAAAACCGCAACCCGGAGGTGCGTTTTTCGATGAAAACGCCACCCGAGGGCGCGTTTTTCGATGAAAACTGCACTGGTAGGGAGCGGTTTTGCAAACCGCACCCCCAGGGTGCGATCTGCTTTTTTTTTTTTTTTTTTTTTTTTTTTGAAAAATCCTAACTTAGGTGGAAACTTCAAACGAACGTATCTTTATGTTCGGGTATCCGATCGTCGCGATTTTTTTTTTGATTCCGCATAATTTTTCGAGATCTTGCAAGTCGCAAATTGCCAAAGGCGGTTTGGTCACGCCTTCGTCCCGAAAAAACGTCGTTTGCTACCCCGAACGAGCCTTTTTTCGATTTCGTCAAACTTTGAACGACCATAACTTTGTGCTCCACAATCCGAAAATCATGAACTTTTTTTTGATTTTGCATAACTTTTTGAGAACTACAATTTTTTCTAGGAGAGAATTTTCAAAAAATGAATTATTTTGGATATACGGGGTTTTGGGAATAAGTTTACCTTTCTTTTTAGGAATCCAAGTACATTCCGAAATTATGTCTATGATAAAAATTTTAGTCCTCAAAAAGTTATGCAAAATCAAAAAAAAAATCATGATTTTCGGATTGTGGAGCACAAAGTTATGGTCGTTCAAAGTTTGACGAAATCGAAAAAATGCTCGTTCGGGATAGCAAACGACATTTTTTGGTTCGAAGGCGAGACCAAACCACCTTTGACAGTCTTCGGCTTGCAAGATCTCAAAAAGTTATGCGGAATCAAAAAAAAAATCGCGGCGATCGGATACCCGAACATAAAGATACGTTCGTTTGAAGTTTCCACCTAAGTTAGGATTTTTCAAAAAAAACAAAAAAAAGCAGATCGCACCCTGGGGGTGCGGTTTGCAAAAAAAAAAAAAAAAAAAAGGCAGATCGCACCCTGGGGGTGCGGGTTGCAAAACCGCTCCCTACCAGTGCGGTTTTCATCGAAAAACGCCCCCTCGGGTGGCGTTTTCATCGAAAAACGCACCTCCGGGTTGCGGTTTTACAAAAATGGTGCTATTTTTGGAATTTTTCGGAGTTGGGTGCTATTTTTGGAATTTTTTTTTAAATAGTGCTATTTCTGGAAAAATCTCGAAAATACAAGGAAAAGATAACGAAAATAAGGGTTTCTTAATTAGTCGCCTGCAGGCTACAGTTTAGCTACAGAAACGAATAAGTTGGTGTATTAGGGACGTGTCTTAATTAGTCGTTGTAATTCTTGTATTAGCTATACCTTGTCCTTTTCCTTACTGTACACGGTAACTATTGGGTATAAATATACCGGTTTGCTATCAATAACACTCACGTATTCATAGCATAATAACATGGCGGGCCTGGAGAAAGATCCAAGGAGGAGGAGTTGCTCCTCCAAGTCCGAGTCCGTGACCGAGCCGGTGACCGGGTCGAGCCAGTTCACCGTAAAGGGTTACTCTCTGTTGAAAGCTATGGGACGTGATAAGTATTTGTACAGTGACATCTTCTCGGCCGGTGGTTATGATTGGAAGATTACGTTTAACCCAAATAAATGCCGTCCCTCCGACGGCGTTCCATCCGTTTACGTGGGCATTGCTTTGGCCAGCTCCGGCGGCAGAGACGTCAGGGCCTTGTTTGAGTTGACTCTGTTGGATCATATGGGGGATAACCACTTCCGTTTCCGTTCGCCGGAGAGCGAGCCGTGCACAATGAAGAAACAATGGTGCTATTGGTAAATTCTTTCTCCATCACTTTCATCTCTATATAGGGTTGAAATTAGAGGTGACAATTGGATCGGATTCGTGGATTCGTGAATTGGATTGGTGGATCAATGGATCAAATGGATTGGATCCAATGGATTGGTGGATTCATGGATTGAATCAAATGGATTGGTGGATTGATCCATGAATCCAAATGACATCCAAGGCTTGGACCAAAATGTAAATTTTGAAAAGTTTTGGTACTAAAATGTCACGATGAAAAATTTTAGGTACCAAAATGTAATTTTCCAATGTTATTTTTCGTATACAAATATAAATCTTAGGTACCAAAATGTAAAGTATAAAAAATATAGGTACCAAATCGTAATTTGCCATTTGGATCCATGGATTGATCCATGAATCCACCAATCCAATTGGATTTGGATAAAATGGATTGGATTTAAATGGATTGGATTAGGTGAATAATTTGGTGGATGGATTGGATTGGATTCATGGATTTGGATCCTAATTGCCACCTCTAGTTGAAATTGGATCAGGCTCGCTTGTAACTCTATATGAGAATTATTATGTCTAATCAGTCCTTACAGTTTTAATTTTATAAAATTGATCCGTCCCTCCTTTGTTTTCTCATTGGTCATGTCCTGTCCGATCCACTCGGGGATCGACGAGTCAAGCAGGGCTCATTTTTTTAAAATTACATTTTGATATCCACATTTGTTTCTTTCTCTCTTATAGTTCCTAAACTTTGTTTGGTACGAATATGTCCATAGATTTTGATGGTAAAATTGTGTTTTTTTTGTGTCTTAGATAACAATACCTGAACTTTTAAAACTCTTCAAACATACATACCCATTCTATGGGTGGGTACCTTAATATCTCTCTCTAAGTTCCAAATCATTAGTTGTAGTTAAATGTCATAGGGTTGAATAGTGAATCGACCCTATCTCATCCTTACAGTATAAAAAAAAAGTTTTCATATTAAGGTGACCATGAAAACAAACTGATCCAGCCCGACCTTCAGGATTGGATCATGTCGGGCCGGAGCAGTGAATATATGTAGTGACAGGTTTACAGCCCTAGTGATCTGGTCGTTGTTGCCATATGTGCCAGGGGTTTTTTCGTCGAAAAAGCAAGATTGGAATCCTCAACTTTTCTAAAGGACGATTGCCTCATCATTAGGGCCAGTGTTGGAGTTGTCACAACTCGGCTCGAAGTTGAAGGCGCCAAGCAAGATTCCATCGCTGTACCCAGCTCCAATCTGGGCCAGGGTCTCAAGGAGCTACTGGAATCTCAGCTGGGTTGCGATTTAGTTTTTCGTGTTGGCCACGAGACGTTCAGAGCTCATAAGTCGATGCTCGCTGCGCGATCACCTTTCTTCAGAGCCCAGTTCTTTGGACCGGTCGGGGATCCTGACTTGAGCGAAGTTATAGTGGATGACATTCATCCCTCCATCTTCAAGGTAAACAGACAGAACTTGAACTCGTATTATAACATAATACTAAGCGCGTAATTTTGGATTTTGCTTATGTGGTCCTCTCTTTGCAGGCGAAGCTCCAATTCATATACACAGACGAACTTCCCGACGTGCATGAGATCATGGGCTCGCCGTCGACGTATTCATCCATGTCGACGGAGGCTACGAACGTGATGCAGCATCTGTTAGTTGCTGCCGATCTGTACGACTTAGACCGGCTGAAGGCGTTCTGCGAATCGAAGCTGTGCGAGGAGCTTACCGCCGCATCAGTGGCCACCACACTGGCATTGGCTGACCAGCATCACTGTTCGCAGCTCAAAGCTATCTGCTTGAGATTTGCTGCGCATCCAGCGAACGTGGCAGAGATGATGCAATCAGAAGGTTTCAAGCATCTGAAGGAGAGTTGTGTCAAGAACCAGTTGATCCCAATAACTCGAGTTGTTGGGAGAAGGTTACGCTGGATCTTATACCACTCTCTAACACGCCCCCTCAAACGAAAGCCAACCCACGGGCTTGAAGTTTGCACAGGCCCACCATACCATGTGCTTGAAAGACAACAGTTAATATTGGGGGTCGTGGAGATTCGAACACATGACCTTTTGGTTCTAGGCTCTGATACCATGTCATGAACCAGTTGGTCCCAATAACTCGAGTTGTTGGAAGAGGTTCAATCGTGGATCATATACCACAACACTAACATGCCCCCTCAAACGAAAGCCACTCACAAGGGCTTGAAGTTTGCACAGGTCTGAAGACAAGAATACCATGTGCTTAACAAATGGGGTCACCGGGAATCGAACACAAGACCTTTCGGTCACAGCAGGCTCTGATACCATGTCAAGAACTAGTTGATCCCAATAACTCGAGTTGTTGGGAGAAGGTTACGCTGGATCTTATACCACTCTCTAACAAGCTGCTTGCGCGAGCTGATGAAGACACTCGCATCTGGTTATCCGAATTACATGGGGCGAGAGTGATCAAGGAGGCTTGGCTAGGCTGGCAGGAGTCGATCGTATTGTCTTTTTGAGTATGTTAAAGAAGTTGTAGGAAGTAAAAGGGAAGTGGGAAGAAAAGCTTTTTTTTTTTTTGCTTTTCTTTAATTTTGCAAGTGGTGACGGTGATGTTACCTTTTTGTTGGTCTGAAAAATGGGTTAGTGGGGCTTGGTTGGCTTGTACAATTTCTTACGTTTTTAACCAATCCCCGTTAAGGAATCCAGATCTTAGACTCATACTCTTCCTGTCTTCCATGATGCATGAGCGAATTCTCTATTTGTTCAGTATTTAACACAAAGATACTGCTAAATAGATTTCTCTTGGCTTGGGGGACTCTTTCAATTACTGATAGAGCGCTTCTTTATGCTGGACTATGTAATTCTCTACGCGCAAACTGAAAATGATAAAGAAAAAAAAGACAGAATGAGCCTTCTCCCTCTCAGTTTCTATATGCGAACTCTCCCCCTCTCCTTTCAGTCGAGCATATTAATATGATGAACTGTTAGTTGATTGTTTAAGTAATTTAGATATGAGGCGTGTTATGAGATCACTACAAGAAAAAGTAGTTTTTGCAACCAAAATCTTTACAACTAATAAAATTGGTTGCAAAAAGACTGGTTTACAACCAATTCTATTTTGGAAGCTAAAATATAAATAAATTGGTTGCCTATTATAATAAAAGTATTGATAACCAAAGGAAAGTTGAGGAGACCAAATAATTTGGTTGCAAAATGATTTTTACTTTTTCCAGCCAAATAATATTGATAGCAAAATAATTTTTAGCTTTTCCAACCAAAATATTTGGTTACGTAATGATTTTTACTTTTCCAACCATATGTATTGGTTATGAATTTAGCTTTGTTTAAAAAAAAATTTACATAACCAAATAATTTGGTAGCAAACAATTAAAATTTTGATAACGTATTTTTACTTTTTCCAACCAAAAATTACTAACCAGTTTTTTATTATAAAATCGATAGCCATTTTAAACAAGTAGCCATGAAACACTTCTAGCAGGGCCATTTTGTTTAGTACTGCTACTAGCTCAATCAAAATAATGGGGAGACGCCATCTTTTTGTTTATCCCATGGGAGATTTTGCTTCTCAGCTTCATACATCCTAATTCGAAGACAATCAATCCATCGACTTATATATGATGAGCAACAACACGTTAGGGTTCTTGTGATTAGATATCAAAAGTAGAAAAAATAAATTATAAATAAAATTTAAAAAAGAAGTTGCAACAAAATTACAACACAAAATAACCCTGCTACCCTGAAGTCCTACAATTTCCTTATTCCTCTAACCCTTCCGTCGCTCTTCCTTTTTCCTCTTCCTCAAGTATCTCGCCCGCGGAATCAACTACAGATTCATCACCATCCTCCCACTGCCGATCAATTTCTCGATCGTCGATTCATCACCGTCCTTTAGGAGAGATAATATTAATCTAGGGTAGACGAATATTATTTTGTTTTGTGTTACATATCTTCTTCCCCACATTTGTAGTAGATCAGTATCGGGTCTATACAGCCAATATGAAGAAGAGACGGATGTTCCTGCTTGATAGCCTAAAACCCGAAGAGCAAGTGGCTAAAATAGATCATGCACCAGTGATTCGAGCCCAAATGTACACATTTTACCCCTCATTTCTTATTAGTTTAGCTTAGTATTTCATCGTTCCTCGACATGTTTCACGTTAGGTTGTGCTTGTTTTGATACATTTTAGGTCATAACATGTGCGCAAAAACCGAAGAAAAGTCTGAAGCGCCCAGGAAGCAGCAGCAGTTCATGGTCAAACAAGGGAGTTCATGGTCTCCTAAGACCGTGAACTGGAGCCACAAACCGTGAACATCTAGCAGTCCAACGAGGTTTCAAAGGTTACTGACGCCAAGAGACCTAGGCAACCCCTAGAGACTGAGCGAGAGGATTGATTCCTTGACAAATCGATCTCCAGTGAATCCATCTCGTGACAAATGGATCACTAGTTGCTCCTCCTAGCGGTTCCCCTAAACGTCGTGAGTGGATCGATCCCGTGACAAATCGATCGCTAGTGAATTGATTCCGTGACAAATCGATCACTAGTTGTTCACCCTCGCGGTTCACAACCACCTACACCACACGACTTCATTCAATCCAACGAGTCATGGTAGCTAGTTAGGGGGAAGCAACTCCTGGATGAAGCCTCCCTTAGTTAGAATTTTCCGTTATTTACTTTTCTTTGCTTGCTTAGTTTATAGTTCCATTAGTTCTAAACCCAAAAGTTGCTTGCAAGATAACAACCTAAGCGATTGAAGTAGGGGTACATGGATCGACTCGGGTTGATAATTAAAACTTACTTGCCCTATGTTGCACCCCTCATAGAGTTTAAAAGCTTGGGCTCTAGAGGGTATTTCTAGTGTGGTGGTTTGTGTGAGTCAACCAGCACGAAAACAGATCTTTCGGTATGAGGCATCATTCCTTGCAAAGAATGGCGTTGGGGCTTGTTTGGGTGAGTGGACCTTGAGTATTGCAGATGTCCCTCAGCCGATAGATAATAATGACTGCGGGGTATTTGCATGCTTGTTCATGGAGCACTGGGAAGGTCACCTTAACGTCGCGTAAAAAGCCACTTGGCAAAAGGCAGAGCATGTGGAGCTTCATCGAGCAATGATTGTTGCGAAGCTCCTTCTTTGGGATAAAAACATGTACAAGGATGAGATGTTCACTTGGATAGAAGAGTGGGAAAGGGCCAAGGAAAAATAGAAGGGAAAGAGAAAAAAAGGACCAAGGAATGATGACAAGGAATACTAGTTGTACTTGTAGTTTGCAGGAATACTAGTTGTAGTAAGGATGAATACTAGCCCTAACATGATTTTTTCCCCAAGTAATCATAAGAGATAGTGTTGGTAATCGATTTAACTGGAAATAGGTTTAGCGAGACATCTCATTTTGTTGTTGCCAACTGCTATTGATTAATAACCAGTTAACCAGCTTACCGGTTAACGGTTAACCAGTTATCCATGTAACTTGGTGCTAAAGGATACGAAGCTCGAGGCTAAGGTGAACTTTTCCGGCATAGCAGAAAACGACTCCATAGGCCCCATTGTGGACTAGAATTGGCGCCACCAGTGCCTATTTTTAGATGCCCAGAAAAAACTAGCGACACTCCTATAAGGACTATACTGTACCATCTCCCCATGAAAATGAATCAAGTAACCCCATGAAAGCCCTTGTAAGCACCTTCTTCTTTCTGAAGAAGGAAGAAAGAGATTCGACGCCTCCTAAGGGCGAGAAATACTTTCTCTACTCGAGAATGACCCCTCCTATGAGAATTTGTGTGAGGAGATCAAAGCTGCAATGATGGTTAACATAAAGACCAGTCCTTATCAAAGATAGATTGGTAGCACTATTAGCGCAAATTCTTTCGACAACAATGAATGGGGTGCCATTTCCAACCCTCCAAAGAATGTCTCTAGAATTGGCCAGAGGGCACTACACGATTTCATCTCCACCGTAGGAGGGGAAGCAACTGCCATACTAATGTTGAGGCTCTCACAGAACTATCGGATCCCGTGAGGGCAGGAAGGAAAATTCTTGAGTATGATCGTGAGCAAACCCACAAGCTCACGACAGAAGACATACCTTCCCACATGCAACTCTTAGTACTGTGAATGCTAGCCAATCCGGGTCAATTCGTAATCCCATGTACTCTCAACGATCATCACAAGATGAGAGCACTTATCGATCTAGGGTCTAGTCTTAATGTTATGACCTTTAAGGCTTTAACATCTTTAGGTCGCTTGACATACACAAACTAGAGAGCACAAACAAGACTATTTCTTTGTCCAACAATTCAGTTTGTCAACTATTAGGAATGGCGAGGTATTTGAAGGTGGAGATAGGATCCTTATTGTTATCTCTCGACTTCTTAGTACTCGACATGCATAGAGATATAGATTACTCTATCCTCTTTGGAAGACACTTCTTAGCCACTTCCGGCGCATTGATCAATATTCATAAACATCGACTTATGATGAGAATCAACAATTCATAGTTTACAGTCCAGATGATCACTCTAGAGGAAAAGAAGGAGGAATACGATCGATAATCAAGATCTACAATAAAGCCCATTTTTGGCTTTGAAAAAAATGCTGAATCGATAACCTAGGCATAAAGTAAATTCTTTGGAGTTGAAAAAAAACAATATTACTGACAATTGCTTGTTTGGTCAGAAGAGTCCTCTAAATATTTCCAAAAAAAGGAATCCGCTCGACGAGGGGCTCGCGTCTGATTAGCTAGTTGGTGAGGTAATAGAACCTCTTCGCCATTTGTTGAGGCTAAAGGAGATAAACTAGCGGATTGGGTTGCAAAACTCCAATCAAATTTACATATGGATCCCTCTGTCGTTACATTCCATTTAGGATTAGGAATAGGCATAATCAGACCCATTTTTTAAATATATATCTCCTTATTTGATTTGAGACCCTATTCTTAGGGGTGGTAATCGGTAAACCGATATTTGGTATTATCGGATACCATACCGGATACCGACGGTATCGGTATTCGGGCGTGTAATTTTCCATTCGGTAATACCGGATACCGGCCGATAATTACCGACGGTATACCAGAATACCGAATAGTGATTGAATATCAGAATCCTGTGTTGTGTTGTTAGGCATAAGAAAACAAAGGACGCAATCTGTTTCCAATGTAATATCGAGGGAAAGGACTGGAGAGGCCCCCAAGAGCAACGAGGGTGCAGGTAAGAAAGGGAAGATGGCGAGTCGGGTTCTTTTGTCGACGGCAGGTGGGCGACGCTACTTAGCTTTCTTGCCTTTAATAAAGGAGTAACACAGGGCCTGTTGGTTGCCGTTGAGCATGTCTCAGCCGTCTGTTTGTTATGTATAATTCAGTATGACTTGAGATAATTGTACAGAAGGATGGATGGGAAATGATGCCTTTCCTTTTTGGGTTCACTAGGAAAATGTATCAACTAACTTATTATGATGCACGTAAGAGAGTAGTTTCCTCTTCTGCGACCTTGTATAAGTTGCAATCTCTTATCATGTTTATCAAACCAAACTTCCAGCAAATGAACAGAATTTGGGGTTAACTACATAGTGGGATAGCTTAGCTACTAGGCAGAGAGATCTTTGATTCTTTCACTTTGATGGGCAAGTTCTCTCTTGTGTTAGCTTTTTGATCTGAGGTTACCAATCTCGTTTTGCTTCATCATTCCATCAGGTGGGTATAAAACCAGCTGTTTCCCCAAGGCTGCAGATGGACAAAGGCCAAGAGAACACACAAGGGAGACCTTAGCTATTACCCGGTATTCGGTATACCGGTATTAATACCGAATACCGATTATTCGGTATTCGATATACCGGTTAACATTCGGTATCGGTATTCGGTGGATACACTGTCTGTTTCCGGTATACCGAATACCGGGTAATCGATATCCGGTATACCGGATACCGACCGACTACCAGCCCTACCTATTATATTCATAAATATTGAATTATGATGAGAATCGACAATGCGGAGTTGACAATCTAGATGATCACTCCAGAATAAGGAGGAATACGATCAATAATCAAGATATATCATTGTAGAATCTGATTGTGACTCCACAGAAACTCCTATGCCCGACTATGGGGAAAGTGTTTACTGGACACTTCCAATTGATACGGAAAAGGAGCTTGAATTCCATACTAGGAAAATCGACGAGGGAATTTCTCTATTCACAATTAGCAAGCGAGAGTTCGAGAAGATGGTACGAGATTTCCACTTCAATGTTTAAAAGGCACCTACGACTCTGAACGTCACATTGGACCCTCCTCTTGATGCAACTGGCTTGGATGATCACTTTGGGGAATGTCCCCTAGACATTCATTGGTCTAATCAATAAAAAAATGGCACTAGCATTAAAGAGAGGGAGCTACTTGGGAGGAAACCCATGGTTTGTTGATAACACTGAATTTTCACATGTTTTTCCCGCTCATTCTTGACGGTTTAAGCTTGCATTATCACTCATGTGGCCTATTTTACGCTAGGTTGTGCTATTTTGTGATGTTTCAGGTCCTGGTACGTGATTTGGCGTTTGGGAGCAAGTTTCGGGACAGTTTGGAGCTACCGAGTGGAGGAGTAAAGAAGAGTTACGACCAAGCTTTCAAAGTTACAGTCTGGGTTGTAACTCCCCAGTTATGGACGTAACTTCAATAAAGAGAAGCAGAAGCCCACTCAAAAGTTACGGCCCAAGAGTCAAGGTTACGGCCTTGACCGTAACTTCTCATTGAAGGCCATAACTCTTAGTTACAGGGTAAAGACACGTCTATGTTTTGGGGAAGTACGGGCGGAGGAAGCATGTTATGGCCGTAAGTCCGTAACATTGGCCATAACTCGTGAGTTTTCCACATATAAAAGGATGACTCGGGGAAAGTGGAAGGGATATGGTTTTCCAAGTTCTGAAACAGCAAGAGAGAGCCCTAGAGAGAGAAAGTGATGAAGAACAACCTCGGGAAGGGATTGGAGCGATCGAAGGTCATTGGAGCTCGATCTTTCACCCTCGGAGTGTCGATTTCTATCTTGGAGCCGAATTTCATCCTTCACATGATGTCTTCCACTTCAAGCTTTGTGTTTTCCCTACTCTTCATGGAGAAATCTCTCTTCTCATTTGGGTATGAAGAACCCTAGTCACGTATGTTAGGAATGATTTTATGAACCCATTTTCGTGGATGATTGAATTTTATATACAATTGAGGTATTATTCAAAATTGCAGGAGTCTTGATCAAATTCTTGTGATTCATGCTTTAACCCAAAACTATATTCTCTGGATAGGTTAAAAGAGCAACCTTAATTAGACGTAGTGAATTGATTGCTTTACTCGAGAAGTCGATTCACAGAGTTGTACTGGGAATGAAAATCAGTAGAGGAAGTTTGGTGCGTTAGTGCCTCGGTTGGCTTATATCGATGGAGGTTAGTCGCCCGCCGGGTATTCAAACTAAGAGGGTCTGGAATTATTTAGTCAAGATTCTAGATTTACCAAGAACTTTCCTCAGTATATCTTTTAATTGAAATGAATTGGGGAATTATAATCTAAACTAGCTGCATACTAGAGGAACACATAGATGGGTGACCTTTCTCATACTTGAAACCAAGACATTTACTGCTTTCTATTTACTTTGTTTTCCAACAGTTCACTCACTAGATAATAATTTGCATGGAGTAACCAGTAGGCCTAGGACCCAAGTTGACATTTAGAACCTGAGCCCTATACATCATTCCTAGACTACGATTACACTTGGTCGTAGTTTGGTTGTGTCGTAGCAAGTCACTTGTCTAACTTAAAGACACTGAAGAAAATTACTTGCGAGAGATAACTTGTCCTCTATTTTCGATTATCTGCACCAATAAAGTTGGTCAACCCTAGCTTTATGGGTCACACCTAGTCGCACAAATCAAGGAATGATGTGGAAATGGCATCATAACCCACTTCCTCAGGAAGAAGTACTTCTAAACCCTCGTATTTTTCCTAGTTTGCGCTTTAATAGAACGAGTGGTTGCCTCCCTTTTTTGTGTGTCAAGCGGGTTTATCACGAAACAAAAACATGCCTATCTTAAA